CCGCCCTGATACCATAGAGACTACAACAACTAAAAGAAACCTAGGTCCTAAACATAAATCAAATTTCACTCTACAGCTTAAATCAAGAAAGACGGCAAAAATGGTCAGTCCGCGAAGCAATTGGAGCATTACGCGATACATACAGAGACAACAGAATGACAGGATCAACGCATACCATCGTCTGCCAGACTGATCAAGCTCAAAGATGCTTCGTTCCGCCAACGCTAAGGGTTGAGGAGAAAGTCGACCAGAAGTAGTAACTTCCATGAAGTATGCCCCAAACAGCAGTGATAGTCGAAAAGCCCGTAAACTTATTTGCCACTTGAGCAGTAAGTCCTCTTCCTGAATAATTCCGCCAGCAATGGAAACGCAAGCATCATGGCTAACATACTGACCAGATTCAAATGTTCGCATTGAGCATCTCCAGCGGCTGTTTAACCGCGATGACCAAACAATAAACACGTCTCTCTCCCCAAGAGTGTAGACTTGTCCGTCCATTCGTCCAGCATTTTTGAGACTGTGCAACAAGACGCAGCAAGAAAGTCTTGATAACATTCCAACAGTCTTCGATAAGACAGATAAAATAATTCCTAATAAGTAGGGCTCGGCATTCTTTGCGTCTCCTAAACCGGCAATGTGGTAGACACGCTGGACCAACATGGGGCCAGATCAGGGTTTTAGGGACTTCTACTCCGTGGGATCAGAGTCAGACTTCGGCCGCGTCAGCCGTCTGCGCCCTCTCACGTCTCCAGTCTTCTTGACTCTGTCTTGACATCAGGCGCGAACGGGTGAGGAAAGAGAGAATGCGGTAGGCGCATAACAAGTCTACTATCAGTTAAAACAAATTCACACGCAAGTCACCGTCTCCGCACCACCAGGCTGTGGTGTACACGGTGGACATCGTGGGAATCGACGGTCGAGCTGCCGCATGTCATATAGACGGGAGACAAGATGTGAGAACTACAGCGGCATCATGAGTCATGTCATAAATCATATCCAATAGGATGAATAAAACCTTTTTCGCATAGACAGAAGATGTGCATAGAGTATCGTATTAAAAAAATAAAAATATGTTATGATGCAAATTTGAACGCCCAGATACAGACACTCATCTATGACAGCAACTGCCCTAGACGAAAAATCGATATCAAGGCACGCTCATTTGTCAATGGACAGCAGTTCACATAGAAAAGGTTCACTGAAATGAACTAAGCATTCTCGAAAATTGATTTTTTTTAAACTTATAACAAACCTTAACCCTAACACCAAGTGCCCTGGAAATGAAAACAAGGTCCCGGAATATCGAGAATTACCGTTCCTCCACCCTGGCCAGATAAATAGCAATCAGTAAAAAC